TACAGAATATAGAGCATGGCTTCCTGACCTTTCTCATCCATGAACTGTTTCCACCCAAGAGATTTTCATGCAAGCCTGAGTATACAGTTACATAAAATTAGTATACAAATAAGATATATATTCATAATAAATCATGAAGAGATTTATTCCATAACAATTATTTGGCATACAAGTAACTTTACCATTTATTGAAGACAAGCACATTTGCGGACTAATGAAGTAAACATGCTTATTTAACTTAATATGATTGAAAGATATAATAATTTGATACTTAAGTGTTGGGAATGATAGATAAATATTAAACATCCTGTTTGGTGTTAAAAATATGTTTCTAGAGTATAAAAAGAAAACATTGCAACGAAGAGCATATAATAGTCTCCAATTTGATTTGAGACATCTCAGTATTCAACTACTTTATAGATACCTTTGACATCATTTAGAACTAATGAGGAACAGACTTTAAAATATGTTTCCTCTTGAAAGCCTTGAAGATGAGGATTCCCCATCAGAGATCCACTTTCTGGTCCTTCTTCTTCATCTCAGTAGTAAGGTTCAGATGTAGGCCATAAAGCAATGGCTTTGTACTAACTACAAAATTTATGGAAACCACAAATATAAGCATGAGTTTAAAGAGGATTCCAAAGAAGAAATTGGAAATAAATTATCACTTAAGTTAGGAAGTCATAATTTCAAATATAGATATTTGTTGATGTATAACACAAAATTATATTTTGGTCATTGCAGCTTACACTAATTGGCATTTTATATAATCAAGAATTACCTTGTTCTGTTTCTCTTCCCTGGAACATCAAGTTCCTCTTTGTGTTATCATATTTTCCTTCCTTTATACCTACCAAGTAACTACCATAAAACAAATGATAAAAGAAGTTGCTGAATGGGATTCTAGAATGAAGAGGCAGAATGTGCCCATGAGCATTAAAACCACAAGCTGAGAAAGGAGAGGCTTCCTTGGACCTCTCCAGGGATAACCTGGAGAATTAAAGTATCTAAAACGGGTAGTTCATATCATGATTGTTCCACTCTCAAAATAAAGAGTACTGATCCAATTTCTGTGCTAATGAACCAGCTACTTAATGGAAAGCACGTTGTGGTCCTTTTCTTCCTGTTACTTCGAGGTACTATTACCAGTTTATACTTTAATAATTATTGCCGGGTATTCTGTGTTATGTGGGCTGCTCAAAGAAGGAAAGTCACCCCAGAATGTAATTTTAGACTCTGACACCAGGGAGGAACAGTTTCTGTGAACTGAATCTCTAGCCTCCATTCAGAAGCATATTTATTGATTGTACACAAGGGTTGTGTTTGGGGTATAGTGAGTTCTTTACACCAAAGCCCCGCTGATCTATTCTATATGTTCTCTGACTGAAATTATCACAGCCCTGCAGCTCTAGTCCTTATTATGCACTGTTTGCAGTACCCGATAACTCAAGACCTCCCCAGTGTGCCTGGATAGTCTCGTGACCAAAGTCATGCAATGGATGGAAAACTTCCTCAGAAAAACAACTCTACAGGTCATAGAAAACAACCGCCTTTCTTTACTGTGATTTCTTCAAGGCCTGGAAACCTTCAACAAATAGCAATATGGTCTACTGTTACCCTAGATATAGTTAGAAACAACTCTTACATTCTAATGTTTACCCCAGATACAATGACTATTAGATTCCCACTGCAATTATATGTTTGTCAGCTATACAAATCTAAATCTGATACAGCTCACAGCCTGAAAGTTTCTGTAGTCTGCTCAGAGCTCATGAGATAGCACTTGTTTCCAGTTTACTATTTTCTAAGAGATTTTATTATGGCATTTTGAGGAAAAATATTAAGACAATATTCTCTACAATAATTTGAAATAGCAAAATATATGCTATGTGATTACTTTTTTGAGACTGAGTCTCACCCTGTTTGCCAGGGGTCCTTGAATTTGTGGTAATCATTCTGCTTCATACTTCTCAGGGTTGGGATGGCTGGCATACACCACCACACCCAGATTATCCAAAAAGTCTTCATGAGATGATTTGAATAATATTTAAAAGCCCAGTTATGCATCCTTCCATGAATCAAACACTTTGGAATTGCTAAAGATTGATTTGAAAAAGAAGTTCAGTAGGCATTTAATGGATTGCCTTGTTTAACATTCTTATCATAAAAGCAGATTGTCATTATCTACCTTTAAATTCACCTGTACATGATAGCAGATATATCGTCCTATTTTTTCTCTTTGATTAAAAAGAGTCAATATCCACAGTTATTGTATACCTACAGGCATCTTCCACAGCAGCAAATAGAATAGAGTCAGTATGTGACTCCCTGGGACTGTAATAGGAAGACAATAAAGTAGATTTATCAACGCTTTCCTGTTCTGGGTAGAAAAAGCTTGGGTAAAATGATTGTATAACTTTTTATTTAAATGTCTACATAAACACCTTTGTGTTAGCCCAGCTGGCAGACATGCTTGCACATCAAATATCCCATATTCCCCTGAGTCCTAGAAGAAAGTCTGTCTAGAATGACACTGAAAATTGCAACATGGAATAATTTCATATAACTGAAAACACAGAATTCCCACAGACAGTGCTCTCAATGGTTGAGTATTTCCTTAAAGTTAAAAATAAGCTATTAAAAGCCTACAGTTCAATAATGACTCCATGTGGTTTCATTAAAACTTACATTTTGACAGATTCTCAGAAAGCCAGTACTACATAATTAATGGATGCTCAGCCCAAGGTCGACCTTCTCGGTGGATGGATGAGTGCAAACTTGGTAGAGTAGAAATCTGCTTTTGACTATTTATCTTTCAGGAAGGAAAGTAAATTATGGAGCCAAGTCCAAAAAATTGGCTCTGCATGTTAATATTTGAGAGTCCTTTTTTATAGTAAAAATTCATGATATCCACTTTGTTTTATGCAATATTTAAAATAACAGAAATTATAAAGAGCCTTACCTCCCTGGCTGATTAACAGCCTCATTTCAGAGTGGCTGAGACTGGACTTGCAATCACAGGAAGCCTCAGATACCAGACATGTCTTACTAATGACCCTGGCATTCATTTCCAACTGTTCTACGGAGTCCTACAGATAGGTGGCTTCTTCCAGTCTGGGTTGTGTATTGTCCCCTTTACTTAATGGTAATGAGATCATGCTCACAGAAGCAGCCTAATGGAAGCAAAATTTGAAGCGGGCAGACCTTAATTTGTATTCTGCCTGTCCTTCATACTGGCTGGTTGACCATAAGGGTGTTACTTGGTCACCCCAAGGTTCCATTTAAAATGGGAGAGCAGTGTCTGTCTTTCTGTATAAAACACAGCAGATTCTAAGCTCTATTGAAAAAGTTCAGTGCCTGATATGTAACCAACCTTCTGTCAATAAAAATTGTAACTTCAACTTTTATTAGGGGAACAACTTACTGCATATACCATATGTTCTACTAATTATCAACTTGAAGTATCCAAACATAAACTAATGCTCAATCCTGGAAACGTCTAAAATAAATGAAGCACCTGCTTATATTTTTGGAGCTACTCAGAACCCCAGAAGTCCAAAGTCAGTCTCTTATCTTTGGTATATGACACTCAGACTTAGTTCTGTTATGACAACAAAAGTATAAACAACAGTGGCATAGGGAGTCATCTACCCCATCACCAGTCAGGACACAGAGCAGGAGACAGACATGGCCAGGGACCATGTAACCCCCGAAGCTCATATAACAATAAGGGAGGGAGACTGGAGAGTCACCACCCTCCCAATACTGACCTGACCTCTGACCTTCAGACATTTCTTGATTTCTCCATTCCTCAATGGCTACCATTTTAAAATCTAGGGCTGTGGCTGGAAATGCCCATGGCCTTCTCCAACTCTGACAATCCCTGGCTCACATGAGGATTCTGGCTTATTGGGACATAAGCAGAGTTAGGAGCCTATGTCTCCCGAACTTCTGTTTCCCATCTAACAGACTTTGGAAAATTTTCTCCATTGTGTGTCAGCTGAAGACTAGCCTATAAATTAGGGAAGTCCTCACTGAAACCAAATATACTTTAAGGAATGAATATAATAGTATCCAAAAAAAATATCTGAGGTCATTCTTTGGTGAAAACGACCTGGAGAGTCATCAGGCTTCACATAACTTTTAAGGGTCCACATGATTGGGAAGGATCTCATGGAGTCTAGAGCAAGTGAAAGAGGACTGTTCACCTCACCACCAACTAGGAAGAAGAAAGCAAGACAGAAAGTGATCAGGGATAAGATAAGAGCCTGCCCCCATCACTTCATTCATCCCTACCTCCCCGAATAACACCATATCCTGGGGATCAGCTTTGCATTCATGAGTCCAAGCAGGACGTCTTGTGTTCAGACCTCAACATGGCAGAACCTGTCAAGTCAACCTTTCCTAAACAAGCAGAGAAGATCTAGTTTCAGCCAAAGAGATTGCAGTGAAGAGAAAGAAACTGAGGAAACCTGAGAAGAGGTGGCATGTTGGTTGGGGTTTAAAGCTCTGTAAACAGGAAGGAAAATCTGACTGATGGCAATTTAAGAACATAGCTTTAAAAAGGAGGAAACAGGATGTTCTTTCGTTGCATAGAAGAGAGGGCTGAGAGACATGTCCGGAAGGATACCATCAAGGCTTGCAGGGCGGATCCACAGATAGAGTCACTTATTGTTAAGCCTGATGACCTCAATTTAATCCCTGAAACCCACATTGTAGACGTTGTCCTCTGACCTGCACACAGCATGCATAAATACAAAAACACACATGCATGCAATAAATAAACAAACAGTGATACTATCAGACTGAGAGGGCCCTTAGATGTCATATGTAAAGCATTGGTGTTTGTTTTCTAGCCAAAGGCAAGAGGGAAAGGAGATGGAAGAAAGATGTTTCAGAACGGACCTCCTGAATGGGAGCTGTGTAGTTACTGACACACTAAACTCAGATGTGTGGCCGCCCCAGGAGAGGTCCCTAACAAGTACCTCTTTCTCATCTAGGCTGCAGAAGTGTTGCTGAAACATGGAGCCAACATTAATGCTCAAGACGCAGTCTTCTTCACTCCACTGCACATCTCAGCCTACTATGGGCATGAGCAGGTAGGTCTGTACTGAGAGCTGCAAAGGCTGGTGGGCTGCCACGGGGCTGGCTATTTAAGGTGACCTCCAAGCATCAGCGTAACTCAGTGATAGAGACTTTGTCCCATATGCTCAGAGTCCGGGGTTTGAACCCCAGTATCACATGGGTAATTTGTACAATATTCTCATCAGCTCCATGCATAGGAGCTTGTAGATCACACAGACATTACAATGCTTTGGCAATCATTGTTCCTGTCTTAGCTCAGGAAGCAGACACTAGGGTATGCATTGTGGTTCGCAGAATCAGGCAGCCTGAATTCAGAAAAACAAATGTTTTCTAGTTTTATGGCTATCTGTAGTCTACATAGTACCTCTGATATTCATTTCTTAATGGGAAAATATTTATGATATGAACATTCCAGGAATGTCTTTACACAGAAATGGGAGACGCACAGTGCATACCACTGTTGAGATGCTAATAGAGTGGGCACAAAACATACCACAAGGGCCCTGCCAGCAGTTCTCTGAAGCAAGTGTCTTTCCTCTTTTCTGCTCTCAGGGGATGTTGGAGGCTGAAAAATCTCTCCTGAAATCAGTGCCTGCTCTGGCTCTGAGCCTGTGACTTGCCTTCAAAAAACCTTGAGTTTGTGATCAGGTTCAAAATTTTTAGGAGATTGCCTCAGGTTTACTGTCAGGCCTGATGGTTCTCCAGGGTCTGTCTGTATTAGAGGGAAGGAAATGAGAGCCAGCTATGGACAAGAAAATGGGAGTGAGAGGTCGGTCGCTTGGGGAAGGGCGGAGAGTGCCAGAACTTCCCAGCAGCCTTGCAAATAAGACCCTGCAGCTATCAGGGTTGCAGATCTTCAGAAATATTTTATAATTTGGGTGTCATTTGCCCCCGGTTGCCAGCACGACATCCAAAGCCCAGCAGAGCAGGTAGCATTCGAATCAGATGGCTCAGAAAAGAAGAGCTGGCATGTTCACCCAGGCTGGCTAGCCTCCAGCCCTGTGCCTTCTCTATCAGGCCACAAGCCCCTTCTCTGTGAGCCCATGCAGAAAACCATCAAACCCAAGCAATTCAACTAAACAGTAAAGTCAGAATTCAAAACAATGTGTTCTAACTCCAGAGTTTATTGATTTCCCACCTCTGCATAGTGAAAGAGAAACACTTCCTGTGCTGATTTTAAACACTACCCCTTAGCTATTTTGAAAAAAAAAAAGAACTGAAAAGAACCAAATAAACTCAGAAATACAAAAGTAAGCAGAAAACCAAACAGAACTGCCCTCCATCTGTGTAGTCTTTATCTTCCCGTGAACCCTTCCACTGCAGTCTGCTGGGGATGCTGTGAGTGTGTTGCTCTGATTGATTGATAAAATGCTGCTTGGCCAGTAGCCAGGCAGGAAGTATAGGCAGGACAAGCAGAGAAAAGAACTCTGGGAGGAGGAAGGCTGAGTCAGGAGATGCTGCCAGCCCCAGCCATGAGAAGCAAGATGTATGATACGGGTAAGCCATGAGCCACATGGCAAGATATAGATTTAAAGAAATGGATTAATTTAAGATATAAGATCTAGCTAGCAAGAAGCCTGCCACGACCATACAGTTTGTAAGTAATGTAAGTCTCTGTGTATTTACTTGGGTCTGAGTGGCTACGGGACCAGTGGGTAAGAGAGATTTGTTCTGACTGTGGGTCAGGCAGGACCAGGAAAACTTCAGCTACACCAATCCCATTTCCGTGCTCCCTGAGGGGTCCATCTGTGCCTTTGTGTCCCTGCTAGCTGGCATATGCTTTCACACTCTTGAACCTCTGAAGCATGACCCACACAGTATGAAACTTGGCAGCCCATCGATGTGCTACTCAGAGTATATCCAGGTGCCTGGAGAGCAAGGCACTGGCCATAGTATGTGTGCATGCTCCAAAAGTTGGATGACAGGAAAACCCTACATGTTCTGGAGCTAGGCTGGAGCAGGATGTGTAGTGTGCATGCTGTTTGCAGACTCATCAGCTTTGCTGATTAACCTCATCACCCAGCAGAGAGATAAAGAGCCTCCATACATGTTAGTGAAGAGCTAAATTTGTTTACCTTTCCTGAAAATATAGTCACAGCCATACAAATTATGCTAAAATGTGGATGGCCCTTTTATGATAAGGGACTCACTCTCTGAGTGAAGGCAGCATACCAGTAATATATGGAAACTGTTGTCATTTGCTGAAATATGCTGATGCAGAGAGTGGCAAATTCAGCCTATGAGTGTGCTGGTGCACCCTGCTTCTTGTCTTTTGTTTATTCACTTAATTGTAAGTGGAAGAACAGGTGCTTGTAGCGAGAGCAGTATTTCCTACGTATGTAATAATAGCACTTAATAGACAATTGACTTCCCGGAGAGCTTTAGCTGTTATGAAGTCACAGAAATGGCAGGAGTAGGAAGATCTGCTTAGCAGGCAAAGTTCTGATGGCCAAAGTGAGTGTAGATCTGCTCATTAGCCACAGAAGGGTAAAATGCACACAGTGCTCGGATGTGTTGCCGTTTCTGTGCGATGGATGCTTAGGGCTAAGCACGGTTCTGCATACCTTACAAGCACTGACTTAATCCTCCCAGCAGCATGAAGAGACAGAGCATTACTGCTCCCATTTTAACAGTGAAGAAACTGAGGTCTTAAACGGTTAGCTCATTGGATCACAGTGACATCTAATATGTATGAACTGGGCCTCCAAGTCTGTGCTTTTGTTGGTACACTTCACAGAAAGGTCTTTCCCCATCTGCCACCAGATAATGCTTGGCTGAGAACTTCTATCAAATATCTATTGCACTATTTTGCTATCTGTTAGCCACTGTGCTTGGCACGTTAAACATATCATCTCCTCTGGTCCTCACCAAAACCTGTAAGTTAAGTCTGACCATGACTTCTACTTTATGTCAGAGGCACTTGGCATGAAATTAGTAAAACTGGTCAGTGTGTGTGTGTGGCAGGGTGGTCATTGATAAGACACTTGCCTAGAAAGTGTGAGGTCCTGGGCTCCAACCCTAACACTGAACACATCAGACAGTGGTATCTTAACTACTCATCTGAGGGTCCAGAGCCTATGTAGGTCAGACTGTGATTCCAGCTACCAACCCTGTCCCCTGGATCTTCCAGACTGTGTGTGACACTATGCTGGTTAGTTTTAAGTGCCAACTTGGCACACTCTAGAATCACCTGAGATGAGCACATCAATGAGAGATTGTCTATTAAAAGTTGGCCTGTGGCCCTGTCTATGGAAGATTGTCTTAACTGTCATAGAAATGTGAAATTGCCACTGTGGGTGGCATCATTCCCTAGGGAGGAGCCCCAAAGTGAAATTGCTTTACCATTAGACTCCTTTTCAGTGATAAAAATAAATTCTTTATTGTTTTTAACTAGTTGGTCTAGGATTTTCTGTTATTTTGGGGTAAAAGTTAAATCAAGAGATAGTGTAGGTGTTTTAGACAGTATGAATTGTGCATTGTGTTTTTCGGGATTTGGACTTAATGTAGCACAGGCTAGGGAAGCACCCACTCTGCAGCTGAGGATGACCTTGAACTCTTGATCCTCCTGCCTCTACCTTCCAATGCCCTAGTGGCTTAGATTACAGGCATGTGCCCCAAGAACACATGATTGTTTTCCCAAACGAATTTCAAATGATGGGCTCTTTCAGGTAACCAGTGTCCTTTTGAAGTTTGGTGCTGATGTCAATGTAAGCGGTGAAGTTGGAGACAGGCCTCTGCACCTGGCCTCTGCCAAAGGCTTCTTCAACATTGTGAAACTCCTGATAGAAGAGGGGAGCAGAGCAGATGGTAAGGTTGTGTCTGGCATCTCCACATCACGTGGGTGTGTCTTTCCCTTGCTCCCCTAGGAACAAGCTTGGAGTTGACTACTTATTGGGGAAAATTATAAAGGCCACTCCACGTAGTTAAAAGGAAGATTTATTTAGTGGATGACTTACAAATGAAGGAATGGATAGGTTGCGGGGGTCTGGGGAAGGTGTATAGCAATCCAGCGGTGTTCTCTGGAGCTCTGCACAGTCAATCTCCACCGTCCAGGGTCCAGGCGCAGAGAGCGCGCCCAGAGAGAGCGCACGCCCATCCAGCTCTCGGGTTTCCAGCACCTCCTTTCGCCCCGCCTCGTAGGCGTGACAGTTGCCAGAGTCTCAATGGGGGTTGGAACTTCCGGATCCAAGCTGGAATGGCTACCCACTACAACTACTCCTGCAAATGTATGCTAACAAACATGTGCCACAAGTCGTAATTTATTTTAAAAGTTTATTTGTTAAATTCCAATGAGAGTATTTCTTTATTGCCCTCAGTTCAGTTTCCCAAACACCCAGCACCCTGGTGTTAGGAAGCAATGTTCCAGATAGATTGGTCCTATCAGTTGTTATTCACTGATCTTTTCCTTCAGTTGAGGTATAATTAACAGATAGAAAATTCAGTAAATTTGGAGTCATTCGCTCGAAAGGTAACTTATCTTCCAGGCTTTCCTGCTCCAGATCACTTTATCTCTACTTAAACACCACAATAAGTTTGTTCTATTCTATGTTTGTTTTTAATTTTCTCTCTGTGTGTATATGTGTGTGGTGTATGTATATAGTCTATGCCTGTGTGTGTGTTCAGGTCTTCACAGGTACTTGTGGAGACTGGGAAAACATTTGACATCCTGTTCTATTACTTTGATGTAGTCCCTTGATATAAGGTCTCTCTATGAATCCACAGCACACAGCTAAGAGCCAGAATATAGCAGCAGTCCTCCTGTTTCAGCTTCCAATGGCAGTGGGGTCACAGGCACTCCTGAGTAACATACAGCTTTTCACGTGGGTCCAGGGATTTGAACTCAGGTCCTCCTGCTTGCTCAGCAAGTGCTTTTTTTCCTCTCTTTTTTCTTTTTTGGTTTTTCAAGACAGGGTTTCTCTATGTAGTTTTGGTGCCTGTCCTGGATCTCACTCTGTAGACCAGGCTGGCCTTGAACTCACAGAGATCTGCCTGGCTCTGCCTCCCTAGTGCTGGGACTAAAGGGTGCACCACCACCGCCTGGCTCAGCAAGCGCTTTTACTCAGTGAGCCATCTCCCTGCTCCACACTTTGCTCACAAGGATAATCTTGACATTTACCCATATTCCTGACACACACAGAGTCTTACCTTTTAACCTGTAGAAGACTCCAAATATGCTACCGTTGCACATCCAATTTCCTCCTGACTGTAATTTAATATTTCTGCCATCTTGGTATTATATAAGTTCTTTGGTTAGCAGATGCATTTATCTCTTGGATACATATATAGGTGTAGAATTGATGAACCCAAGAGTATGCATATTTTTTATTGTTAAGGGATTTCTGGACAGTCTCCCAAGGTATTTTTACTGTGGTTCAATCCTGTGCCAATGTATTCCATTTCCTTCTGACAGCCTGCCCAACAAGTGATGCTCTATTGTTATTCTGTGACTTGATAGGCATAACGTCTTAGGGTCATTCATTTCATGGGTTTTTTTTGTAATTCTTAAAATTATTAAATAAATGTTGGAAAGTTGATTGAAACTAGCATTAAACAGGAAGGACTCCCTCCTAGACATTTATTTTTGACACAGATTCATCCAGAGCTACAGCTGGCCATAAAATTCTCTCAGGCATATCCAGCCTCCTCTGCCTGGCCCCCCAGAGACCCAATTAAATGCCCATCAGTGAGAGCTGCTGGCCTTTGCAGCAGGAAAGATGCACAGCTCCAAAAGGACATGGTTGTCAGGCCCATAGAGCTGCTAGCTCCTTGGGTCCAAAATTCAAATTGGTAATCACTTACTGAAGCTACTACTGATGCTTTTATCCAGTAGTAAGGAAGTCCAGTGTCTCACACAAGCCTGCAACAGTGATAAGGAAGTCCAATGATTCACAGATACCTGCAACAGTGATAGGGAAGTCCAGTGTCTCACACACACCTGCAACAGTGATAAGGAAGTCCAGTGACTCACA